TCTATTATATGTTATCTTTGTTTTCCTCTTCTTATTTCTCCCCATCCCTCCTCCCCTGTACTCCACTACCTACTGTAAATCATGTCCTACCATTCCAGAAGATGCCAAATTCCGAACCTAGGGGACACCAGTGACTATTCTGGCCTTTGTGACCAAGCTCAGCTCTTAACCACTTCAGTAGCAGCCTATGTATACCCCTTCATGACCGGGTCATTATTCCATTCCCATTGCTGTAGTAGTTTGACTGACTATTCCTCTGCCATGCTCCAAATTAAAGTACTTCTAAAGTCAAAAGGGTTTTTTTTTTACCTTAGCAGAGAAGCATGGGCTTTCTACAAAATAAATGTATTCACCTAGGTGGATTCAGCATTGATCCGATGCTGCATCTGTCCTCCGCTGCCTCTACACTGAGAACTGAGCGATCAAACACCGCTGATCTCTCAGTTCTCCCCCTACGTACACTGTCAGTGACCAGCTCTCTGCTTTTTTTCACCAGTACCCACTGGAGTGCCGGGCTGTGAAGGGGGGTGGTAGGGGCTTTAACCACTTGCCCTCCAGAGGATTTACCCCCCTTCCTGACCAGGCCATTTTTTTTTTTGCAATATGGCTCTGCGTTACTTTAACTGACAATTGTGCGGTCATGGAAAAGCTGCACACCAAGTAATTTTTTGTCCTTTTTCCCCCACAAATAGAGATTTCTTTTGGTGGTATTTGATCGCCTGTTCAAAAAACTGAAGATTTTGAAGAAAAAAGTTTTTCTTAGTTGCTGTTATAAATTTTTGCATATAAGTAACTTTTCCCCTTCACCGATGTGCGCCGATGAGGCTGCACTGATGGGCACTGCTGAGGGGGCACTGCTGAGGCTGCACTGATAGACATCACTGATGGGCACTGCTGAGGCTGCACTGATAGACATCACTGATGGGCACTGATAGGCAGCACTGTTAGGCGTCACTGTTAGGCACTGATAAGCAACACTGATGGGCACTGATAGGTGGCACTGATGGGTATTGAAAGGCAGCACTGATGGGCAGCACTGATAGGCACTGCTTGCGCTACACTGATAATCAGTGTAAATGCCACATTCGCCAGTTACTGGCTTTCCTCTCTTCATGTCAGGGGTGGACTGGGGCCCCCCGGCAATACAGGATCATGGGGCTCCTGTGTCCTTGCCCACACTCAAAGCACACCCAAAAAAGCCTATAAAAAGGTACCAGGGACATTTCATGGGGCCCCCTATTGACCCCAGGCCCTCGGGCGGTGCCCGAGTGTCCAAATGGTCAGTCCACCCCTGCTTCATGCTGTGACAGCCTGAGGAAAGGACCGCTGATAACCAGCAGGTCTGTTTACAAGGTCTGTTTACAATGTGATCAGCTGTGATTGGCCCTTTACCACAATCTTTGATCAGCTGTGTCCAAAAGACACAGCAATCACAGAGCACATCCAGGGGGCACAGTTCTGGGCTATAGCACGGTCAAGAACTGGTTATCCTCCCTAGCAGTCTGATTATGTCAGTATTTCTGTGCTCAAAGCGGTACATTATTTTCAATGGAAAATATGTTTTTTTTATTGTAGGCCTGTAATTCTTAGGAATAACTCACTGAAATCTGTCCGAACAAGAATCTAGTAAACATCCCGGGTATGATAAAACTTGGAAACACGAAATCATAAATTATAATATAATAAATAATCATAAATAATAATAATAATAATACATTTAATTCAATAAAGTAATCAAACCAAAAACACTGAAATGTGAAATATATAGCGCCAAGTTCGCACATCGCTGAGCAAAGTCGCAGAATCGTTTTCAGTTGTCTGATGATGAATTTCCCCCACGAATCATTATCACTCAATTCTGCAAGTGGTTCTGATTTACTATCGCTGTTCTCTAGCCGGTCTAAAACCGCTTTTGACCTAAAGGGACGCTTTTTGGACGCCATGGACGTTTCTCAGTTTCCAGGCAGAAAGAACAGTAAAAAATGCAGGCAGGGCGCAGGACAAAGCACTCGGGACAAAATGATGTGAAATGGTTTGTTACAGGAATGTTATACTATGTGATTTTAGTGGATTTAGTGAATGTCACTTTTTGTCATTTTCAAATTTCCCGCCAGTTCCATCCCCCGTACGTCCCGACGTCACAGGGAACGGAACCCGGAAGACAGATGCTGGCATCGGCCGGAGGACATTGCCGGGGACACTGCAAGGGGGGACATCGTGGGAGCGCAGGACAAGGTAAGTGAAGAAGAGATCCCGGAGCAACGCTGCAGTGTATTCCTGAGTGTAGCTCGGGGGGGTTACCGCTTGTGGTGCTGAAACTTTACCCCGAGCTACACTCGGGAATACTGCCAGAGGAGGGGTTAAATGGAACCCTGATATAAGGGGAACTCTGATGGGGACCCTAATATAAGGGGACCTTTAATGGGGACCCTAATGTAAGGATGACTCTGATGGCGACCTGGATGTAGGTGGTGGAACTCTGATGGGCACCCTGATGTACAGGGAGACCCTGAAGGGGATGCTAATGTAGGGTGGACTCTGATGGAGACCCTGATGTAACGGGGGGACTGATATTTTTCAACCCACAAATATTTGTAAAATATATAATGTGGCCCTTTGACTGAAAATATAGGGCCTCTTGCTGTATGTAAATAAAATATATTTAATATAAAATGTGTATTCACACAACTTCTTGGTACCTTGAAAAGTCCTGCTCATTGGATTCTGAAACATAATTGCCCAGTGGGAGACTTGGTACAAATACTGAACTAATCGGATGAATTGGCTCCAATGATTATTTTCTTTATGAAACATCTTCAATAAAAGACGACAACATTGAATCCCTCGTCCTAACAGTGTGTGGATGTGTGATGGCGGGTCGCTCTGTTACTTGGAGATTCTGATCATGCAGCCAATCCCGATACGCCATCTACAATACAATGGTACAATGTCTCACTTTGGGATTGATTCGTCACATTTTCTCGCCTTTTTCCTCCTTCAGAATTGACGACTTAAATATCGTATTTGCGGTTTCCTCCGAACCCCCTTGGTGGGAAATTGAGCCGTCATACTTCTATTTTCTTTCAAAACTCTTCAATTAAAACCTCCAAAGCCAAAAAGATTATATTCTTTATTTACCAAACAGAACTTCATTACATCGATTTACAGCGGCTCTAGTTGTATGAGGCTCGGATGTGACAGACAAAAGACGTCTCCTCGCCTCATCCTGCCTCAAGTGCTTTTTACAGGAACAGAAAAGTACATATCAAAATACATAAAACAGGAACCGTTATATCAAACAAATTGTAATTCTGTGTAAAGTCATATTAAACTCTCAGTGCTTTTAGGTTTACACATTAGGGGGAAAAAATAGACATTCCCCAGTAAACGTTTTGTTTAAAATTCTATTCACAGTTTATGATTTTCTATGCTCCTGATCTCTCAGTGCTGCTTCCCTGAACTTCAGAGAATAGTTAACAGAGGACAGTGCAGTCCAGAGCCAGTCTGTTAGCTTGTAGAAGGAAGGAGTGAGGAGAAGCGGAATGTCTTGCCATCCTAGGTTAGGGGGCTGTTCAGGGGTGGACTGACAACTCATGGGGCCCGCAGGCAATAGGAGATTATGGGGCCCCTGTGTCCTTGCGTACACTCAAACCACACCCAAAAAAGCCTACAAAAATGGTACCAGGGGCATCTCATGGGGCCCCCTACTGACCCCGGACAGTGCCCGAGTTCCCAAATGGTCAGTCCGCTCCTGGGGCTGTGTGTTTTCTATGTAAAGGAAGATGCAACACCAGCTTAAACTGGAACATAGGCAAGGGTTAAAAGATAAAGAAGTTGCAAACTCAATAATGAACTTTAATGGCCCCCCAGTCTTAGTCCGTAGGGTTCAATATTGAGTTGGCCCCGCCCTTTGCAGCAATAACAGCTTCAACTCTTCTGGGAAGGCCGTCCACAAGGTTTAGGAGGGTGTCTATGGGAAGGTTGGACCATTCTTCCAGAAGCACATTTGTCAGGTCAGGCACTGATGTCGGGGGAGGAGGCCTGGCTCACAGTCTCCGCTCTAATTCATCCCAAAGGTGTTCTATGGGGTTGAGGTCAGGACTCTGCAGGCCAGTCAAGTTCCTCCACCCCAAACTGGCTCCTCCATGTCTTTATAGACCTTGCTTTGTGCACTGGTGCGCAGTCATGTTGGAACAGGAAGGGGCCATCCCCAAACTCTTCCCACAAAGTTGGGAGCATGAAATTGTCCAAAATGTCTTGGTATGCTGATGCCTTAAGAGTTCCCTTCACTGGAACTAGGGGGCCATATTTTTTAAATATATTCTTTTTTTATATTTATATTTATATATTTTTTTAACATATAAAAAAGTAATTTTAACATAAATTTGTAAATACATTCCAAAAATGTAGATTTGTATTTTTAAAGACGTACAGTATATTTGAAATGTTAGATATATAGGCAAAAGAATAGTAATGATATAACTACCAATATATCCAAGAGCCTATAACATCGCTCCCTCTAACATCGTGAATGTGATAATCTAGATAAATATTTCAATTAGAGCTGCTATTTTCAACTTAGTTAAACAATATATAAAAAGTGAAAATAGAAAATCCCACAAAACAGCGCTCTCAACCTTCTCATATACCAAAAATTAGTAAAACCAATATATATGTGAATATCAATGACATATATAAAAAAAATTATAACATTATAAACAATAAATTAAATAAAAATAAAACTGCCACCAAATAAAGTGCAAATATGTGCCAAAAAAAAAAAATATACCAAATAAATATATATATATTTAAACCAAACAAGAAGTCCACTAAGTAAAGTCCAAATTACATATATAATATTTTTATCACCAGTATCTGGTGAGTTAGCTCTTTGATGGGGTGTTGAGCACTGAAATATTCACATTTGTGAGAAAATATTTCTATTGGAGAAAGAATCCATATCTTCATTGAAGAAAGATTATATATATAACTTTACTTAGTGGACTTCTTGTTTGATTTAAATTTTTATATATATTTTATTTTATATTTTTTTTTGAAACATATTTCCACTTTATTTGGTGGCAGTTTATTTTTATTTAATTTTTATTTATTTCATTTATTATTTTATAATTTTTTATATATGTCATTTATATTCACATATATGTTGGTTTTATTAGTTTTGGTATATGAGAAGGTTGAGTGAGAGCGCGGTTTTTGTGGGATTTTACTTTTTTATATTTGAAATGTATTTTTAAAAATACTTGTCATATATTTTGTAATAAAAACACATTTCAAAATGCAGTGTATACATACATATACATATATATATATATATACACATATATATATATTTATTTTTTTTATTGAAATATATTGAATATGGCCAAAAGTGTAGTATTTCAAATGTATGGCAATATATTTGGGAAGAATATTTTTAAAATATATTTCAAATATATTTTTCTGCCACGTGGGAGAGGTGACCAAACTGTATTGCATTACTACAGCAGAGATAGCTCAGGTCACCAATCAGATGATGTTGTCATAGCTGGACGAATCCAAGGACTGGATGGATAGAAATACAACTTGTTTGGCAAGTAAAGCAAATCCCTTTGGTATATATCAACCTCAGATTTAGATGTTAGCCTTGAGCTCAGGTTTAACGATCGGTCTAGTATTTTTTATTTTTTTTTACTGACTTCAATCAAAAGGTTCCTGTTTCTGTCTTCTTTGAAGTCCGTACTGTCTAAGACAGAGATAATTACTCGTCAGACTGTGAATTACAACAAGTCGTCTTTCATACTCTCTCCATTCTCTGTGGATCTTGTTCTGTAATTATATGACGCCCATTATGCGCTCTCTATATAAACACAATGCCCAGGACTGCGGACAATACGAGCGATGCCATGTGAAGCTCGATCTGGGAGCGCACAGGTCCCGCTTGTACGCCACTTTGATGTTTCGGTAATGAACGCCCTGAATGGCTTTTGGAAAACATTGAATTAAATTAACCCCCCCCCCCCCATCCTCCTTTACAGCAAAGGGTGCCTATTTGTCCTGCATGTTGTCTGCATGCCACCCGCCTTCATAAGAGTCATTTCCATTCAGTGTGTTCTGTTTTTTGTTGTGGAGCTAATTGCCAACTAACAAAAGGTGAAATAGTGTATTATGATGGCAGGAAAATCACTTGTATCTTGCTGCAATTTCACATATGTATAGGAGCAAGGTGTATGCAAACCCAAAATATATATTTCTGTATATTAGGTACAATGTATCACTCTATACAGTTTTCTTAAGAAAATCAGGTCAAAGTGCAGGGGTCAGTGGTATGTAATGTACAGAATGCAGGGGTCAGGAGTATGCAATGTACAGAATGCAGGGGACAGGAGTATGCAATGTACAGAGAGTACAGGAGTATGTAATGTACAGAATGCAGGGGTCAGGAGTATGTAATATACAGAATGCAGGGGTCAGGAGTATGTAATATACAGAATGCAGGGGTCAGGAGTATGCAATTTACAGAGAGTACAGGAGTCAGGAGTATGTACTATGCAGAATGCAGGGGTCAGGAGTATGCAATGTACAGAGAGGTCAGGAGTCAGGAGTATGTAATGTACAGAATGCAGTGGTCAGAAATATGCAATGTACAAAGAGTACAGGAGTATGTAATGTTCAGAGTACAACTGATGGAAATGTAACTGATTTGGTGTCACTGACATCCCCAGTGACACCAATACGTGTAAATTAATTGGTGTACGTGAAAGTTATAGTGTTTACAAATGGCGGAATAGATATTGGAAGTTTATTTTTATACTAGTAATGGCGGCGATCAGCGACTTATAGCGGGCCTGCAGCGGGCATTCTGACACAGGGAGGAACTGACTTGGTGTCACTGACATCCCCAGTGACACCAATACAGTGATCAGTGCTAATAAAAAGAGGGGTGATCAAAGGGTTAACTGTGTGCTGGGAGTGTTTTATACTGCTATGCAGAGCCATACAAAGCAGTGTGCAGGAGATGACAGGGAGGGGAGAGGTCTGTACTGTTTACATACAGGTCTCTCCCCTGTCAGTGGTACTCGGTGATTGCCAGGTGCTGCCGGGGAATCACCCGCTGGGACCTGGTGATCGACAGCCGAGGCCACCAATGGCAGTGGGGGTAGAGCTCACGCATGCCCCCTGCCCGGAGATGCAAAATCACACACAGTGTGTGTGTGTGTGTGTGTGTGTGTGTGTGTGTGTGTGTGTGTGTGTGTGTGTGCGTGCGTGCGTGCGTGCGTGCGTGCGTGCGTGCGTGCGTGCGTGCGTGCGTGCGTGCGTGCGTTTTTGCACAGCCCTGCCGTCCTGTAGCAGTATATCTGCTATAGGATGGTGGGAAAGCAGTTAAAGTAGAACTAAAAGACTCTCCTTTCATTTTGGATGAAGAAGGGTAATAACCCCTGTCAGTTTTTTTTTTCTCTGTCCCACTGGAGAGATTTATATTTACTTCCTATCCCTTATCTAAAACAGGAAGTGAGAGGAAATCCTTCCACAGTGAGGGAATCCCCAGTTGTCACCAGAACGAGTGTCCCCATTGGAAGATTTCCCCCCTATTCCTGCTCTGGTGACAACCCAACATTTTGGATTTTCTCTCCGTGATAGTAAACAGGAGCAGCAGAGAGGGTGAATCTCCCTAACTGGGGCACAGACAGCAAAAACATCCTGACAGGGGGTCTAATCCCTCATCACCCTATCTATACAGGCCAGTACACCCATATTTTATGTTATACAGCCCAATGCACCCATATTTTATGTTATACAGCCCAATACACCCATATTTTATGGTATACAGCCCAGTACATCCATATTTTATGGTATACAGCCCAGTACATCCATATTTTATGTTATATAGCCCAATATATCCATATTTTATGTTATACAGCCCAGCACACCCATAATTTATGTTATACAGCCCAGTACACCCATAATTTATGTTATATAGCACAATACACCTATCATTTGTGTTATGCAGCCCTGTATGCCCATATTTTAATCTATACAGCCCAACATGCCCATATTTTACATTATATGGCCCAATACACCCATAGTTTGTGTTATACAGCCCAGTATGCCCATACTTTACACTATATAGCCCTATGCACCAATATTTTACGTTCTACAGCCCAATACACCCACATTTTGCGTTATGCAACCCAGTATGCCCATATTTTCCATAATACGGCCCAATACACCCATATTTTAAGTAATGCAGCCCAATACATCCATAATGTGTGTTAAACAGCCCAATATGCTCATATTTTACATTAGTTGGCCCTATACAGCCACTATTTTACATTTGATGATCTAATACAACCATATTTTAGTTATACCGTCCAATATACCCATATTTTAAATTATACAGCCCAATATGCCCAATTTTTAGGTTATATTGCCCGGTGCTCCCACATTTTACATTACATGACCCAATGTGACCATAAAGTATGTTATATAGCACAATACACCCATCATTTTTGTTATGCAGCCCAGTATGCCCATATTTTATTTTATACAGCCCAATATGCCCATATTTTACATTATACAGCCCGATACACCTGCATTTTGCAAAATTGCGGCCCAATATACCCATGGTTTGTGTTATACAGCCCAGTATGCCCATATTTTACACTATATAGCCCTATGCACCCATATTTACATTATACAGTTAATATTTTACATCATACAGCCCAAAACAACTATGTTTTGCATTATACAGCCCAACATGCCCATATTTTACATTATACGGCCCAATACACCTGCATTTTGCATAATGCGGCCCAATACACCCATGGTTTGTGTTATACAGCCCGGTATGCCCATGTTTTACAATATATAGCCCTATGCACCCATATTTACATTATACAGCCAATATTTTATATTAGACAGCCCAAAACAACCATGTTTTGCATTATACAGCCCAACATACCCATATTTTACTATATAGCCCCATGCATCCATATTTACATTATACAACCACATGTTGCATTATACAGCCCCATAAGCCCATATTTTATGTTCTATGGTCCAATATATTGTACGTTATACAGTCCAATAGTCCATATTTTAAGTTACACTGCCCAGTGCTTCCACATTTTACATTGTAACATCAAATGTGCCCATGTTTTGGTCATACAGCCCAGTATGCCCACATTATACTGCCCAATATGTCTTTGTATTACATTATATGGCTGTGTGCAGAATCAGTGGTACATTAGGCTCTCTCTACATAACTCCAAGCTGTGGTTTAGCCAATATTTTGTTCTTTATCTCATGAATCTCATTCATCCCATCATTTCCTTTATGATTCAAAACAACCTTTACAAAAAAAACCAAAAAAAACACATTTTTAAAAATACCAACAACCTTGAAAGTAAAAATACATTTTAAAAAATATTTTGCTACAAAATAATAAGTGAACAAAAATTCCATAAACAAGGACAAATTCCAGGAGCCAAGCAGGTGACACAGCTGCGAAATGACATGGGCCTCTCATTTTTGAGCCAGTAATTTAATGTTGCCCAGCTATTCAGAAGCACTTGCTGCCTCTTAAAGCGCCCACAGACCGAAGACAACCACAGATTCACACATCCATGTGTTCGATTGGGCACGCCAAGACATTAGTCAATGGGCTGGGTTGGAATTTGTTGGTCAGCTGCTAAAATAAGCCCCTTAAAGAAAAGTTGAGAGATTGAGGGGCCCTACAAATGTTTCTCTGGTTGAAAATGGCTCCTCAGATACTTAGACCCTGCAAAAAAAAAAAAAAGTTGCTTTTATGGAGACCCAATTCCAACTGCCACTTCATGTCAACTGACTGGATCCTAGATTTTTTTGTCCGCCCCTCTATAAAGGTTGACCCAAAAAATTCAAACATGGGAAGTCATTACCGCAAATTTTTTGATGTAATCCGAGACGCTAAACCCTCCCGTTGCCAGGCGAATCGATCGGTGGAGAGGCGACTCTTGATATAACGTTCCCATTTTCTCACTGTAACAACCTACCATCTAGCCAAATCCCTT